AGAGCCATTTTCTTAGGTTGTACTCGTAAAATTTGCTAACTGTAGGAACTCATCAGTGCAGTAAAGGATCCAGATAGTATGTAGAAAGACCTGGATATCATTGAGGTCTGGGGTAACAGAAACAAGACAAGAGTTCAATAGTGTAAGTGCAGGACACCATACTTTGGGGACTGATTCAGGACACCCAGTGTTACACATTTGGAACCTCCTTTTAGTCCTTAATCACAGGATTCCTCTGAACCATAAAGTGATGTCACAGTGAAAAAGGCACACACTGTTCTGGGCTACAGCTGTGGGCATCTTGAAGGTTAAGCAATACTGAAGTAGGGATTCTGAAGATTTAAGCTTCAAACTGTCTAATGTAAATGGTACAAAACCCTCTGAAACTTTCAATCTAGTTAAATTGTAGGTAAGTTCTGGTAGAATCCACAGTGTTAGGTGGACAGAACTGTGCACATTGAATTGTCGATCACTTTACTGTCCCCATAATCTGGTCCTTACTCCTTCAGGAGGCTGAAAGTTGATGTTACATATGAAAATATGCTCTTTATAAGCAATTACCAGACATTCTACAGAGGTTCAAGAAAATCAATTCCACATTTTAATCTTCTAAGAAGCCAAAATGAGAATCCAAAAGAACCTTGAGAAGATGCAGCCAGTATGTTACTGTGGTTGCTGCTGAGCTTTTGGGAGCTGTTTTCCTGCTAGGACAACCCATATTTAAATTATACATCTCAAAGACAGAGGGAAAACAGAAGAGAGTTATTGTTGTTCTCATTATGAAGCTAAACTTATAATCAAACCCTGAAGAAATCTTGTGGACTGACAGGGAGAGACTTTGCCAGCACTATGAACAGGGCAAGGACAAAGACATAAGCTAAAATGTTGCGGTGACCAGCATCAACACACATATCACAATAATGACAAATGAATTAAGTTCAAGGCAGTCCTTTCTCAGCCTCACTCCTCTTCTGCCAGCTTCTTGCGCCTGCGCTGACTTTTATTGTTTAGCTTTTCTTTCTGATCCTTTCACCATACGTGTGGGCTACAGGCATGTGTCTCCTGGTTCTCCGAGCCCACAGAGCATCTCACTTGCATCTCAGTAATCAAAGGAGATTTAGAAGTTATCAAGTGGGCTCTCTCCTTTGAAACTCTCTCAATGACAGTGCCACAAATTGGTAGCTTTCAGGAAGACGGCTGCTGTCAGTGTAAGCTTTGATAATAGAAATGGCAGCTGAAATTTAAACTTAGACATTTCTGTTACTCTCAGAGGAAAATGTGCAGTCACAGAAGGGTTTCTCATCATCTGAAATTTCAAACTGCTGCGTGTAACACTGTGGGGCCCATTTCTCATAGCCACAATGGCTTACTAGAGTAGTTTTGTGACTTTCTGGGAAAAACCCAGCATTGGTACAGGAGCTGTAAAGTGAGCTGATCATCACCCTCAAATACCCCATTGGGATCAACAACTTTGTGGTTCTGCCTGAGACCAGCCTCCCTTTAGCCTCTTCATCATAACAGATGAGTCTGGACTGATGTGAGCACACGATGAACAGAATATTGTCCAGGACCTTCCACTGACAGAAAAAGTGTAAAGGATGTGTAAGGATAGTGTAGGTTTACCTAGCTGTGCACTGGAAAGGCATACATATGTATAACCCTTTTTTACGTATCTCCTTTCGCCTCCTCTTCCATGTTATTGCACCAAAATCTACATGCATGAGGAGGAAGGCAGGTTCTGGCAATGCTGCCAAAGGGCTGCTAAATTCCGGGTCAGCCAACAACTTTAAAGGGAAGCAGGGTACATTGTCTTCTCCTGAGAAGTAAATATACATACACGTTCTCTTTGTACATACTAAAATATTTAAATATGTAAAAATATGGATTATAATTAGGGGAAGTTAGAATAGATTTGAATGTTTAGCATACCCTTGGTAGTTCTTGTTTCGTTTCTGTATGATGCCCTCCGTACCAAAAGATACTTCACTGTAATTGTGCCCTTTCAGTGCAATCATGTAAATTTTGCTCTTGTTCATGCTGTTCTTCCTTTGCGAGCTCTGCCTTGGTTATCATGGCCATCTCGGAGGCAAGGAGGAAAGGATTCCCATGGAGTTGGGACTCACAGGATTAAAGCTTCTAGGAGCGAGTGGGGAAGTTTATTCCCCAGAGGCCCACAGGGACTGCACATCCACAGGGCTGCCCTTGATACAAAGGTCAGCACGCTGTAATGCCCACAACTCAATATCCAGGGAATTGGGATTTCATACTGACCTCCAGGTGCTATAATTTCTTCTGCAGTAACCAACATGTTGATCAAGAGGTTTTTTTTCTGGGTCCAGAGATCATATGTCTTTGGAATGGGCACCATTATAAATGACAGATCTTTGAATCGTTTAGGATCTGCTTTCTCACGGCTCTGCTCCTTATGGAGACATTTACAGCTGTGCAAATTTATTAGGGTTTTGCAGGAAAGCAAATGCAAAGCTCATCACACAATTATAATTTCTGCCATTCAGCTTCTTCCTATTTTTGCTTATTTATTATGCCAATGTATTTTGAGTCTTTGAGTTGGGACCCCCTTGCATGCACACATTTTCCCCTCTAGAAATTTGATAAAACTGTTTGCTGGATATACGAACTGGCTTCTTGTTTGGACCTTTTCAGCAGTAGACCCCTCAGGCCTGCAGACAAAGGTTGAAAACCATTGATCAGGACTATGCACAGGGGAACAGAAGTGACCTGCAGCAGCTGTTTGTCAAAGCCTGGAAAACTCTAGTGACAGAGCTAATTAATACATTTCTCAACTCTATGCCTTGTATTTAATGCACATGGAAGCAGTGAACTGCAATCCAAATACCTTGTGGTAATGTGACAATGCTACTCTAACGTTTATTGAAAATTTCATTAAAAGATAGAGTGTGAAAACAATATTTTGGTTTGCTTCTACTGTTTTTTTTTTCCTCCCATTTTGTTTCACTCTGAATCCTCAATGTTTATATTACATGTACTACATATGATGTTATGTTACATATGATAATGTTTCAATAATAATAATGTTTTCTTAATATTTTCAAATCAACTTTTATTCATAATGTTCTGTTTCACTAAAATGCCTATTTTTCTACATCAGTTCTCTCCCTCATGACCCTAATAAATATCACTAGAGATCTTAATTCCATAATTACTTGCTGTATAGCATAAAATGGATGGCTGCCTGCTCCATCTACTAATATACATACCAGCACCTAAGTGGACACATTGTACAGCTAAATAAAAATTCACACTTCTTTACTTTGAAGGTACAGTAAGATGTAAAAATCCCAAACCCTCTATGCTCTATGCTGCAGATTAGCTTGCAATTGTGATTGTTGCTATTTATCTTAAGGAAGGTGGAATACAGTGATGCAACATACACATATGTGCGTTCCAGACCTCACGGACACTGATGTGCAAAGTTTTAACAAACTTTTGTTTTGCACTCTGAGGGAAAAATCTGAGACTTTTTAAGACCTCTGAAAGATGTAGCAGAAAGGTGTGGATATCTTTAAGGGCTAAAAAGAAAAAAAAAAAAAAACAAAACCACAAACCCAAACCTCCAGAATTAAACACATTTATACACTATTAGACTCATTTATACTAGTCAGTAGTTGCAGATTGGCTGATACTAACAAACCCATCTACTATATTCATATTTCACTTTTCAAGTATACTGTGTGTGCAGGTTTAAGTAATACAATGCTGGGAATAAAGAAGGACTTCAAAGAAATATATAGATATTATTCATGCCACCCACACTGATCCATAGATCATTTCAATTAAAGATTCATTAAAAAAGATACAAAAGAAGTACCTGAAAGTGTTCACCAAAAATTGCAGACTTCTTTTTTTGTTACCTAGGTGTCTATTTGGACAGTGGGTCTTGGTGACAGTTTTCTGACCCCTTGCTGTTCAGTTCCCCAAGAGAATGGTCAACGTGTAAAACTCGCTGGTGAGCAGATGCACTAACACCAAAAAGATTTCCGCAATGGACCAGCAGAAATTAAAGTTTAGCAGCTGATTTGTGCCTGTCTCCTGACACAGACTCCTTCCTCGGGGCTTTTCTAGGACAGCCCTTCTCTAAGGACAGTTTTACTTCAAAACTTTCTCCTCCTCAACCGAGAGATCAGGGATCCCTCCTGACAGCTGGATCTGAAACAGGAGCTTTGATCCAGTGCCTGCTGA